AGGAGTAGGGAAGTGATCGTGCCCCTGTACTCAGCACTGGTGAGGCCGCACCTCGAGTACTGTGTTCAGTTTTGGGCCCCTCACTACAAGAAGGACGTTGAGGTGCTGGAGCGTGTCCAGAGAAGGGCAACGAGGCTGGTGAGGGGTCTGGAGCACAAGTCTTATGAGGAGCAGCTGAGGGAACTGGGGTTGTTTAGCCTGGAGAAAAGGAGGCTGAGGGGAGACCTCATCGCTCTCTACAGCTACCTGAAAGGAGGTTGTAGCCAGGTGGGTGTTGGTCTGTTCTCCCAAGTAACTAGTGATAGGAGGAGAGGAAATGGCCTCAAGTTGTGCCAGGGGAGGTTTAGATTGGACATGAGGAAAAATTTCTTTACTGAAAGAGTGCTTAAACATTGGAACAGGGAAGTGGTTGAGTCACCATCCCTGGAGGTATTTAAAAGACGTGTAGATGTGATGCTTAGGGACATGGTTTAGTGAGTATGGTGGTGTTGGGTTGATGGTTGGACTCGATGATCCTAGAGGTCTTTTCCAACCTTAATGATAAGTCTTCACATCATATGTCAGTTGAACAGGTTTCCAGTTGATCTGGAATTTGGGTAGATGGAAAAGAGAAGGTATGCCATTATGTACAAATGTGAATCTATTCATTATCAAGTATATTATGACAGGTTTGTGGTGATAGTCAGTTTGACACATTGAATTTTTAAAGATAAAATTAATAGAAGGGCAAGACTGAACTGATTTCTATTAAAAATGTTATTTTGAGATTGGGCAAGTCAAGTATTCCTACATTTCACCCTGAAATCTGAAATACAGACACTCAAACTGGATGTTTTAAACTTATCTTTGAGTCTGAATTTACTTAAATCTGATGTAGGTGATGATTGATCTCACCAACTGTATGAAAAGTTTAAAAATGGAGAAGGCTTGGGAAACAGCCTTCTAGTACCTCAGAGGAGATTACTGAGAAGGTAAAGCCAGGCTTTTTGTTGACGTAAATGATGCAAAAATAGGGGAGGCCCCACCTGGGTCTTAGAAAAAATATTTTCACTATAAAGCCAATGAAACACTGGAACAGGTTGCCCAGAGAAGTTGTGGAATATCTGTACTTGGAGGTTTTCAAGACCCAGCTGGACAGTGTCCCGTGTAGCTAAATCTGAATTTAGTCTTGATGTTTATTTGAGCAGGAGGTTGGACTAGATTGCCTCCCAAAGTCCTTTCCAACTTGAATGATTTTATGATTCTGATTCAGGCATTTTGTTTTAGTTCATTTTTACTATTAATGACTGTAACTAATTTTTACTGGTGTGATTTTTATTTTTTTTCCCAATCCCCTGGTAGATTAGAACTGCAATTCTGTTTTGTTATTTATGAGTGATTTGGTTTTGTTTTAAGCAACAGGTGAGCAAGCAAATACAATTTTAATGGTTTCCTCCTTAATATGTGAAACCATATAACTGGAAACTGTGGGATATTAAGAATGTGATTTGATACCTCTCATTTGACCAGACAAACTTAAATAACAATACCAATACATTATATCATATGTACAATACAGAAAAATAGTGTATTTTAGTAACTGGAGCCTAACTGGAACATTCTAGCCTTACATAAGGCATAAATATGGACAACATTCACACACAAGTACTAAAGCCAGAACAACTGCAAATACCAAGTCAGCTACTTTGTAGCTTAGATGAAAAACTTTTTTAATGCCCTAAGGAAATACCACAGAAAGAAGTGATATTAATACATTTCATAGATGTATTCAGTTTTACATTACGTACATTTGTGACAATATATTCTTCACTTTTGCTATTTCTGTAGGTGTTTTTAAAGTATTCTTTTCTGACTGTTTTGTTTACATTTTTTTGAAGGTTTCCCAATGAGTGGATCATGATGAACATACTTTAGGGACTTGCCATAGTATGGCTGCTTCTCGATCTACTCGTGTTACAAGATCTACAGTGGGTTTAAATGGTTTGGATGAAAACTTTTGTGGTAGAACATTAAGAAACCGTAGTATTGCTCATCCGGAGGAAGTTTCACCCCATCCTCAAATACGGTCAAGGTCACCAAAGAAGAGGCCAGAGTCTGTGCAAACTCAGAAGGGAAGTAACGGTGGAAGAACTACTGATTTGAAACAACAGAGTGCTCGGGAATCATGGGTGAGCCCTAGAAAGAGGGGGCTGTCTACTTCAGAAAAAGATAATGTTGATAAACAAACTGTGGAAAATTGTGAAAAAAAACAAGCAGAACCTGTTTCACCAGTTTTGAAAAGAATTAAACGCTGTCTACGTTCAGAGGCACCCAACAGTTCAGAAGAAGACTTGCCTACTAAAACAGAGAAGGAATCATTGGAGCATAAAAGCTTAGTGTCGGACAATGATGCAGTCTCCACAGGGACTAAGCGAGCTTGTCGATGTCTTATATTGGATGATTGTGACAAAAGGGAAGTTAAAAAGGTGAATGTTTGTGCAGAAGGATTTAATAATTCTGCAATAGTTGACGAGATTGCAGGTTATCAGACTGTTAATGGAGTTGGTGAGAGAGACTCAAATTCTCTTAACTGTGATGACTGTCAGCTTGATGGGAACACTAAGCAACACAGTGCTGGTTCCTGTATGCCCAAGGACAAAACAGTAGCAGAAAATGGAAACTCATTTGCCCATTCTTCGTTGTTGCTTAATAGCAGCAAGGAGGACAGTGCTGTAGACCATTATGTGCCTTGCACAAACTCTCAAGAACAGGTAAAGTTAGAGGACCACAAAATAATAAATGACTGCTTGCCTGAGGAGCATGCTAATCAGGCAGATGAGCCAGCTACAGGGTCCTTTTCTGAAATCCAGTCATCTTTGTTAAGGGATTCGGAGGAGGAGGTAGATGTTGTAGGAGATAGTAGTGCCTCTAAGGAACAGTGTGCTGAAAACACCAATAACAACCCGAATACTCATCATGACAGTGCATCAATCTCAGGTGAACCTGAACCACATTCTTCAGTGCTGGACTGTGTTTCAGCTCAAATGACATCTATGTCGGAACTTCAAGAACACAGATACACATTGAGAACTTCACCACGAAGGGCTGCCCCTGCCAGAAGTAGCCCTACTAAAAATAACTCTCCTTGTAGAGAAAACGGACAGGTTGAGGAAAATAATCTTAGTCCCACTGAAAAGAATGTACCTGTAGGTATTAATAATATCAATGGATCTCCTAAAAAGTCTGAAGAAATTAAACAGAATGAAAAAGAGAGAAGTTGTAATACGGGAGATCATGGGAGTGATGGACTAAGAAAGCCACTTTCTGAGGCTAGGCTTGTTGCTGGATATGTACCATCTGCCAAAGAGAGTGCCAACATCCACACTGCAGAGGATGATGAGGAAGAGCCTGATGTGTATTACTTTGAATCAGATCATGTGGCATTGAAACACAACAAAGAGTATGTGTAACTATGGTAACCATGAATTCTGCTTTTGTTTCTTACCAAAAATATATAAATTAATACATATTTAAAGTACTTTCACAAAAATTTAAGTGCTTTATAATTTTCATGCTCTTCAGTCTTCATTTTTCTTCCTTGTTTCTACCCCAAACAAAATTAAACTCTATTTAATATGCAGTATGGTACAGCAATGTGGTTTATACATTTCTAGCAATATGAATTCTTTAGACAGAAATTGTTTGGGTTTTTTTTTTTAAACACATCTGTTATTTCTTTTCTCTAAAAAACTAGCTGGAAACAAAACGAAAGGAATTACAACTCTTAATTAGAGTTCAGTTATTTATCAGCATATCCAATAGGCACAGCACATACAGCTTATGAAATCACCATTCTGTTGTACATAGAACTTAAGGTTAGATACCTATTTTCAGAATGTCATGGGAAAGACTTACATTATTGTGTTAAGGAAGATAAACTGATCAAATGCAGCAATTTGAGAACTTTCTCCAGAGTAAATTATGTCTACATTGCTGTTTATATTCATTAAATGTAAATATATACATGTTCTAATTATTATTAGGAAAGAGCACTAACTTCTTTTTATATTTATCATCTGAATGTTTGTAAGTAGAACTGTGGTAATCTTACATTTGTGGTAACTGTGAAAGAGATTCTTGAAACAAAAGGGCAATTTTCTCAGTGAAGAAAGTTTACATGGAGAAAATTTGTCTTCAAATGATAGATCGGGCCACAGTTTTTATCGCACGGTCTTTGTAACGCTGTTTTGACTTCTGTGTTTTGCTGTTTAGTAGATGGTCTACATTTTGCTGTGAGTACTGAAAGGCCAAATGCAGGTGATCTTCAGTTTGCCTCATACAAAGAGTTAAACCACTGCTAGTAGTTTCTGTAAATAATCACAGCACAATTATTATGAATATGGGGCACAAGGCACAGATGATTGTTTAATCCAGCAGAAGTTTGACTGGGTTTTTTTGGTGTTAGAGTTGCATTCTTTTTATAATGAAATTTTGTTCAATATTGGATATGAATAAAATATTTTAATCAGAGAAAATTGTGAATTAGAGCATGGTTCAGACAAACTATGATTTCAAAATAATGATCAAATATCTGCAGCTTCAGCCATCAGCCCAAAGTGTATGGACACTTTTCCTGGTAGACAGAGAGAAGATTGCTGTTTCCTAAATTGTAAATGGGAAAAATGGACTGTTGTCTTTTGACATTTTTTGGATGTTTTTGTATCTGTATGTAGGGTGACTTTACTAGCTATGTTAGTACAGAGATACATTAGTAATGTATCTTTTTTTTTTTTGGTGTTTATTAGGAAAAGAATGATAACGATTGTATCAGATTTTTAGATGTAGCCTCAATTTTTACTTCTTTGAAATTAAACATGTCTGAAATGTACAGTTTTTAAAAATCAATCTGCAATTGAGTGTAAATAAAAATAAAAAGTAATTTTTTCTATTCTTACAATTAAACACAGATCTAAATTGTTCTTGAAAAATTTCAGGAACATGCCCTAGTGTTAGCTTTTGAATATACAGAATTGCTCTGAAGATATGACTAGTTGTTGTTCAGATTGGCAGCCTGTTTGTGAGAGCTTGTTGGGGAGCTTTTGAAATTGCAACTAGGACTTGGTAGCTTGCTACTAACTTGCTGCCTGAATGCAGAATTCCAAAAGAAATTGCTGTTATTTTTATCCTGTCTTATATTTTACTGATTTTTGGTGGCAAAAAAAGTCAAAGCTAGAATTCTCTTCTAGATCAAGAAAGAATAATTTCTACTTTTCGGAAGGGAAGCATTCTACTGAAGGTAGTGTTAGCTGGATTTTTTTTCCCTTTAAAACAATGTTGATATAATTGGAAAGTTATGGACAGCCTTTTTTTTGTTGTTGTTGTTTATATTTGCCAGAAAACAAATCTAGTATTCTGATGGTTCCTCATGATAATAGGATCCTTCTAAAGAACATAAGTCTGTGTTTTGATATTTGAGTGCAGTTGTCCTTTACCCGGAACTTCGTAGTTCAAGAGTTAATCAAATACAGTGCACTACATCCTTTTTCAAATTTTAAAAATACCAGAGTTCCTTATAGGATACTCCTAATTCATGTGTTCTTCATCTTAAGTATACCCTTGTTTAATCTCATTTGCTGCTTATTTTCTAAAATGTTAAACTAAAAAAAAAAAAAAGTTTTTAGCAGAAATGTTTTCCCTGATTAGTCAGATGCAAAGAATTCCAGGGCTCCCTTGCTGTCAGGTAAAGGCTATTCGCTTTGTCTGTGATATTTCTGGCTGAGCAAAGTATGCTGGTCTTCTGCTTATCAGACCTTCAAATGGTACACAGCTTTGTTTTTCTGTCCGTCATCAGTTTGTGATTAAACTTGTCTTTATGGATGATTTTTTCTCTGTTTTATATTTCTATTCTCTCCTAAAAGCAAATTCAGAGAGAAATTAGCATCTTGGCTAGGTTGAGGAGGCAGATTTCTCCAAGGCGGCATTAATATCATTCTTTGGATGTTGCACAGCAGGAAAAAGCTACATTCCTCTGTGTTGCAGAAGCAATTTGATATGTCTGTAAACTTACGTTATTTCTTGTTACATTACACAGCTTGATGACATACACATTCATACAGTTGATTTTCACTCTTCAAGAAATTATTGTAACATGGATAAAATACGAATATACTGAAACTTTCAACAGCTGTTGATAAGACTTGCTATAAGAAAAACAACTAAATGTATATTGTGATATTTTTGTATGAATTTTGTTGCTTTTTGAATGTTGTCATGTTTAAACAACATTCATATATTAATATATTTCTCGGAAAACTGAATGATATAATAGGAAAAATAATCATCACAGAAAACAAATTATGAAATATTATTTTTCAGAGAGGCTTAAATGATGGATGTTCCACAACCTCTTTAATAAAATAGATCCCTCCTACAAAGACAGATCCGAGATCTCTAAACAGAAATTTTATTGCAACATAGACATTCATGTAGATAATAACAGACTGATCTAGGGGGTTGTATAATTGTAAAGTATTGTTAATGTTAATTTTTCTGTTATTACACACACATTTTGAATTTTTGTGTATTATGATTCCTCTCAGAAAAACATGGTTGGATGCATATTTGAGAATTTTGCTTATATGTTCTAGCTCAGAAACCTTTGCATTTTCTCTGGAGATATTTTCGTCAAAATTGAAGTTGTTGATTTAAATCTTTTTACACCACTTAATGTTATATGCTGTGCTCAGTGTTTTGCATATGTCTTTCCTCAGGAGTTTCTCATCTCTCTTTGCTATATCTTTTTATAGTTTAATTCTTTCTTACAGTGCAGTAACTTACTTTAATTTTCTATCTTATGCAATATTTTATTCTCAGTGTTTAATTTAGTGCCCTTTTTTCCTTTTTTCTTCTTCCTCTTTACTTACTCTCTTTGGAGATTTGCAATGTTTGGCAGGTATTAGGTTGCATGGGGGAAAATTTTTGTTTAACACTTTGCTCTGAGTTCTAGATGAAAATGTAATTGAGGAATTGAGTTTTCATGTGCATATAATGCATTATACAGTGTATTTCTAGGAGCCTGTAAACTGTGATTAGCTTTATAGGGACCACTTAGGCCTATAGGTAAGCCCACTGAAATATAAGAATTACATGTGAGCACTTGCCTACAGGCATTCAGTTGCAGGAGCTGGGATCTTGCGTTTATTCAGTAAATAGATATTTTCATATATCTTTGGTTTCATTTATTACTTTATAATATTTAAAATGATCATAGCTGTACTGACATTTAAACTGAAGACAGATTAAAATGAAATATTTTAATACATCTCTTAAAACCCAGTCTTGTGAATTCTTACTTGCTGTGGGTTGTATTGTTGCAGAGGCCTTGGAAAGACAGGCGACCGTGTAAGATCGTACAATCAGATTTAATATTTAATTGACAATTCATAGGAATACTGTTAATGTCTTTGGATGCGCTTTTAATATTATATGAATGTGAGAAAGAAAAGAAGCATATGTGGCATTCCCTGTGGTACAGGTTTGGTATTTTGTTAAGTCACAAATGTTTCTGCCTAATGAATCAGATTAAAACAGTTCTCTAGAAAAGTTCATCTTACTGCTTTTGATTTGTTAGAACAGGGTCTGGTGCACCTTGCCATACTGTAGCAGTCTTTTTCACTAAGGTGAACTTCTAATTTTAGCTGCACCATGTTTTTTCCTTGACTGGATGACAATTAGTATTAAAAATTAAACTACTTCTCATTAATATATTTTAAGATAAAATCTCCATGTCTATCTTCATATATATTGGGCAAGAATAAAAATATTACATCAGTTTTGTAATTTACCCCCATATATTCAGATATATGTCTCAGAATTAAGGTCAAATTTATCACACAGTATGGATTTATTTTAATGTACAGATAAGTCAGGTAATCTAACATTGCTTTGTAGTGATGTCATGTAGCTATGAGTAGCTAATACTATGGAATAAATTATCCTCCTATATTATTTTTAAGGACACCTTTGTCTTTGTCTCATTTTCCTGTGAGACATACAGTTTTAGTCTGAGGAGACTTTGTTACGTTGTTTCATCTCAAGGAGTAAAGGGAATTGGTATAAGTGAAGTAAATTGAGTTACTTTTTGTAGTAGCAGTTGTAATCCATACTGGGGTCAAGAATGTTATGAGACAGCAACTGTTTTGTAAATATGTAACCTCCGAGTACTTTATAGAATATATCATCAACATAGAAGAATTGATGATGTATACATTTTTAGTGTTGAAGAATAATAGAAGTTAATAATTTAAAAAAGCATATATGCCATATATATTAGATTACAATGTGTTTTAATTCATCCTTTGTTCCACACAAGCGTGGTGTGGCATACAGTGATGTTTTTCTTAAACTACCTATTAATGTAAAAATTAAACACACGGAAAATTGGTACTTTTTTCAGAGAGT